GTAGCTTAAACTTAAACATTTTTGGGACTTGCACGGCACTCTTTAAAGGGAACTCTCACAGGCACTCTCACAGGTTAGCCGAGTGGCCGAGTGGTTAGGAGCGCGACCTAGTAGTCCGAGTGTCGCTGGTTCGGCTCCACCCCAAAAGTTTTTCTTTTTTTGCAAAACTTTTAATGTGCGTTCTATTTTTTTCGCTTCTCAAAGTTAATTCTGATTTTTTTTACCATAAAAGGTGAGGATAACAAAACTTTATTTAAAACTAAGAAATAACAAACAATTCAACAACGGTGGAAAGATTCGACAAAATGAAGGAAGGAGAATATATTCAGACAATAAGCACAACGAATGTACGGCATATTATCGCAATTTATCTTATTACATGCACCAATCAAATCTTATTACATGCACCAATCATGCGGATGACTTTCTTCTCTCCATGGTAGGCTAGGGATCGAGATGAGTGCTGTTCTTTCAAAAAGCCTGATTGATCGGCATTGGCAAGACAGGAGCGTAGGACGACGTTTGCTTGAAGGTCGGCCCTCACATTATTCACCAAGTTGTTGGCCTCACCTTCTATGTCCGCCTTTGCCCGGAAGTTCTTGATCGCGGTAACGCGGCGGGTACGACTCCAGCAATCCTCTTGAAGTTGTTGATCCATTGTGGTGATGCTTTGAACGTGGACACCAAAGAATAGTATAACAGCCGACGTATAGTATAACATAACAGCGCATATATGGCTGAAATTAAATTTATCGTTTAATCAACGACATTTAAGATTCTCGTTCTGGGTGCTTTCCCGGTTATCAAAGTGCGACCTTAGCAAAAGATAGAACACAAATGTCTATAGTCTTTCATAAAATCCATTGGCTGCGTGAGTTCAAACAATGTCCCAGTCTATTTGACAGTCCGTAGAAGCTTGCACGATGAAAAATCTCCTTCCTGGTCAATCCTGGCGCTGAAATTACACCATTCCGATTGAATTTTTAAAAAAATCAATTGTTCCTTTTCATTCCATTGTTATAAAAGTCATTGTCCTGACTGGGAAGCAAAATTTTCCAGTTTCAAAATTAGCGGTGATCGAAAATCAATCAAATTCTAGACTCCTTTTCGGGCTATTGTAGTCCCTTTCAATGGACTTTATAACAATGGACTTTGAATTTGAATCAAATTTGCTATTGAGGTTCAAAATCCGTTTCAAATTCATCTATAAAAGGGGTGAAAGGCGTCAAAGGCATGTAGATCAGTCATCAGAGTCACCTAGACAAGAGTCACTCGATCAACTTATTGCTCATTCCAACATGCTCATCATCTGTGCTGTGATCGGGCTATATGGTAGGTTTTGAGGTGAACAGCTTCTTTATAAACATAAGACACTATAATTGTAGTGTCATCTAAATATGCAACTTGTAATCTATCGTCAGTTCTGAAAAGCTTGTAACAAGTAAGAAAGTAACTTGCAAGTAACTCTTGTTTCAAGGGCTACTGAAGAACTGAAGCAGTACACCAGACTTTGTGTAAGTAACTTGAAGTTAACTTCTGATTATTCTCCTTAGCTAGCTAAATTACAACTCAAGATGAACACAGCGATGTTAGTGATCTTTCAGCAAGCACCACGCTAGCCTCTCTCCCCATTTGTTCAAAGTGTCCAGCAGCTGGTAAATCTTTTAAACTTAACAAAAACATCAACAAGTGATCAAGCAACAAATTCCAGGCCACTGGTCAAGGTGGGAAGACTATACGAGCTGTACAGGCACGTGTGGTTTATTCGGAAGAAAAGTTCAAAAGAGGACGTGTCTCTCATGGAAATGGGGATGTCCATGCAAGTGAGTAACTGAACAAAAAACAACCATTCAAATCTTTCCAGGGGACCATATTCTCGAACAAGACCATGTGCTCCGAAGCCATGTCCTGATGGCTCGAATGCCTGTGCTGAGGGATATTCACTCGTAAGTTTTTCGTTTATTGGCTGAAGTTCTACCAGACAGCTAAAAAAGACAGAATTTACCATTTCAGTACCCCAACTCCAAACTCAATCAAGTTCTCTGTGGAAATGTGTCTCTGCCGAGTGACTATGTGATGCCAAAGTGTCGAATCACAAGTAATACATTGAAGGTAGATCTGAAAGAAATGCTTTCAGAAGTCCTCGCACACTGTGCTTTTCCAAATCTTGGCATTTGGAGTGGCTGGAAATCGATGGCACCATGCACGGCAACCTGTGGACTCAACGGAATGGTCACTCAGAACAGAACTTGCTTGTCTCAAAGCAAAGGCCACAAATGCACGTGAGTTTTTAAGTCGCTTCACTCTACCTCGTCTACCACTCCGACTCTAACATCCATCAATATCTCCATTCATTTAGCGGCTCCTCAACAAGAACGATTCATTGTCCCAAACTCGCCTGTCCAGGAGATGTGTGTGCATTGGACACAAAAGCGGTTAGAGCCTTATGTTAAGAGCCAATCACTTTTTGGATTAGGTGACGAATCTTGTGACTGGCAAAAGGCTTTGCGGTGTCGGCCTGCCCCAGGATCCCGTTTTGCAAATGCCCTTATGCACGGTTTGTTGGAAGAGTTAGGGAAACATTTGAAAGCATCCGAGTTCTATGGTTACACATACTTGCAACTTACAAGTACACTGTTTACTAGAGTACACTGTTTACTTTTCCCCATTAAACTAACCTACACTAATTTGTAGCTAAAGAACTATTTAAGACAACAACCAAAAAGGCTACGACAAGGGCCACAACGAAGACAACGAAGAAGCCGACCACAAAGACCCCAGCTCTACCGTGCTTCACTCATTATGTAAGTGATGTGAAGTCTCTCAAAAACATCTCTTCCTAGGCCTCATCCACAAAATATGCGAATTGTGCCGCTGTTGGTGCTGGCTTCAAAGCTGTTGGTGGATCGTGTTACAAGGCAATTTATGTGAATGCCGATTATGCTGGAGCAAGAGCCAAATGTAAGGCTGCTCATGTGGATGCGGACTTGGCCACGATTCGATGTGATGCGGAGAACACGGGAGCTTCTGGTTTGTCTCCAGTCTTTGATTCACTCAAATGGCTTCTAGGTGTTGTGTCGGCTGCTCTGAAGACTCAATGTTTATCGTTTGGAGAGTTCTTCCACAGTGTGAGTCGATTAGCAAGTGCGATCGAACTTTAGCAACTGAGTTTTAGCAACTGTTGTTGGGAATCAATAATGTGACAAGAACTAGTGGAATTTCCTGGACGAATGGAGCCAATACGACTTATCGGTTTCACATTTACGAGTGCTTTTTGTGAAAGTTTTTTTAGCAACTGGGCCCCAGGAGAGCCAAACGGAAGTCCGGTCGATGCAGTCAGCAGTGCAACGGTATCGACACTAACACGTTTCTAAAGGACTTTAACTGTACCAGTTGTAATGAACTAGCACTTGTATTTGCTCTGTTATCATCAAAAATCCTCTTTCAGCTCTACATTGCGTCAACAAATCCAGCTGGTGGAGTGACGTATCCACTGGGAAAATGGGAAAACACGCCACCAGATTGGGTGGTTTGTGCTGCTCTCTGTGAAGTGATCACGGTGAGTCGCCGAAACAAAACCCAAAGATATTGAATTAAGTGGACTCTAAGTACCGTTAGACAAGTCTACCCAGTACCATTCGATTTCAGGCAAAGACGGGAACTGGTTGTGGATTGCGGCCGTGTACCGCGGCGACAAAAACGACAACCACAAAGAAAACGACAACAACCACAACTACGACCACAACGACACCAGCGCTACCATGTGTCACAACTTCGGTAAACAGAATATAGGCAATTAGGTTGTTATGTTTCACATAATAAATGAGGTTGCTTAAGTAGCTTCTCAAGAATGGCTCTAGCCTATTTGAAAGCAAAAGGATCAACATCTCCAGGTACCCACCACAACCTATGCCGATTGTGCAGCTGTTGGTGGTGGCTTCATTGATGTCGGTGGATCGTGTTACCAAGCAATCTTCATCAATGACTCTTACATTGGTGGAGCTAGAGCCAAATGTCAGGCATTGAATCCCAATGCTGACTTGGGCACGATTCGATGTGATTCGGAGAATACAGGAGTTGCCAGTTAGTGATTGAGTGGTGATTGTTTTGAAAATAGGTCTTAGATCTTGTACCAGCTGCTTTGAAGACTCAATGTTCAACGTTTGGAAATTTCTTTTATAGTGTGAGTTGTCTTCAAAATTTCTTTTTAACTTTGAGCTTTAGCAAATGTTATTGGGAATTAACAATGTGACAACGACGAGTGGGGTTGCCTGGTCAAATGGTGCCAACTCGACTTATCGGTTTTGTACATTTTCCGTGTTTTTATCCGGCGTTTTCAGAAACTGGGCCCCAGGAGAGCCAAACGGAAACAGTCCAGCAGAAACAGATGCAGCCAGCAGTGCAACGGTATTGTTAGATCCGAATTGAGAGCACGCATAAAACTGTGACTAACTAAGAATTTGTAAACGTGAATGTAGAACATAAAAATAAGCTCTTAAAATATAAAAGAACTTGCATTGATTTGAACTTATTGGTGAAGGGTTGCGGGTAAACAATAGGTCCAAGTTTTGTATTTGCTCTGCTCTGATCAAAATATTTCTTTCAGTTCTACATTGCGTCCACAGATCCAGCTGGTGGCACGTATCCGCTGGGACAATGGGAAAACATGCTACCAACTTGGGTGGTTTGTGCGACTCTCTGTGAAGTGATCACGGTAAGTTCTTGAAAAGAGAAAGAAAGAGAAAAACTGCCCGTTGACAACTGCATTGAAAAGCTGTTGATTCTAGGCAAAAACCGGAAATGGTTGTGGCTTCTCACCGTGCCAGAATGGTCCGTAAGATCCAATAATAAACTCTTCTTAAATATGTGCTAATAAATTGTTTTTCGACTTTTTCTTTTACAAGTTTTTGTGCATTTATTGAAGAGATTAACTTCAACCTTTATACACTTTAACACTTAGTGAGATCTAGTTTTCCCTCTGTTGGAGGGTAATATTTTCATCTAATTCGATCCCATTGAATTGTCCAACCACGGAATCTGAAAAGAAAAGGGTTGAAAGAATAACACACTCTAGTGAGAAGTTGAAGCTACAGTACTTGGAGCAGGATTTAGCAATCTAAATTCTAGAATGATCTTATCTCACTCATAAATCTCACTTTTTCTTATGAACTCCAGTCCGCAAGCGTTGCTTGGCACTTGTATCATGCCCAATCGGAACGAACTCCGAAATCAGTTCCAAGTTTTGCTTCTTTTCATTCAAATCTGAAAACAACTCGCAAAAGTCTTTGTAGCTTTTGAATTCTGAAGACTCTTGGATCAAATTATTGCTTCATAGTACTTTGAGATGCTGATGAGTTCCTCATCACTTACCTAGAGGTTTTTGCTCTCGTTGTCGTGATTCACTTGATCCTCCTTTTCGCCCAGAGTACTTGTGAGCTTTCTAAAATTTCTATTTTTAGCTGCACAAGATTCTTCTTTTCTGAGAAACTTGTAGTTTTACCTGAAGATCAATTCTTGATACATTCTCCTCATAGTCCCCAAACTCGAGCTTCGAATCTTTACTTTGTGCTTCTTTGTGACTAGGCTTTCCCTTTTTCTAGAATCTTTCCTGATCAATCTTCAAAGATTTCATTCACCTTTAAATCCATTTCTGAAATTGTGTCTTCATAGTCTCCAAATGTTCGCTGTTTTTCTTTCTTCTTTGGATTATATTGCATCTTTTTCTGAAAGCTTTTTATTAATCTTTGTGGAAATCTTATTTGAAAGCAGGGTTATCGTTTTTCCGCTTTTCCCTCTTTCCACCAAATTGCCGAAAAACGGCAGAAAAATTTGAGTGTCAAAACTCGGCAACTTGGAATAGGGTAGAGCAAAATTACGGTACAATTTTTTGATGAATTTTCCAATAGTAGACAGAGCTTGGCCCAGGGACATTAGCACTAGCCAAGGGGCAGCAAATTCTCTTCATAGTCTGGTTTAAGGCGCTGATAGCTAATCCAAGCTCGTCTGCTCGAGTCCCAAGCCGAAATTCTCTTTTGCTTTTTTGTTTTATCTGCTTTTCACCTGTTTCGATCATTTGCCTAAGCCTAAGCCTTAGCCTAAGCCTGCGCATAAAATAACAATATAACGTATCCGAGTACAAAAAAGTGAAAACATCCGCCTTTTTTAGCGTTTCAGAACTTTTTTAGCCTACTTGGGTGTCACTTTTCGCTACCGTATCCTCATAGTCTCCAAATCGAGCCTTTGCTTTCATCTTTTTATTCTCCCGTATCTCCGAGGTTCCGCTAACGAATTCATCGCTGAAATTGCTCAACTTTCAACCAAAAAATAGACAATATAGAATTTAATAGTCAAATTATTTCTCACCTCTTTACAGCATGCTTTCCTTCAGCGTTTGAATGTGTTTTGAACGGTATTTTAGTGGTGATTCGTGATTTTTCCTGAAAATTAGCTGATTAGTTGATTGTTTAGGCCGCTGATTAGGCCTTCATGAATACACTATATACAGGTACTCAGACTGACCATCAAGATTTCCGGATTGATCGCTGGATCATGCTTCTCTAAAGTAGCACCATATCCTTTCAAATCAGCATTAGTTAAGTGCTTGATTTTGCTCCCGAAACGGTTTTTCCCTGCCCAATGCTGTCGATCTGAAAAATAGAATTCAATGAGCAATAAATATTTCTTAACTATAAAACTTAACTTAACTTTACTACAAAAATCGGGTACTGTAGCACATTATAAGTTGCGAATTCTGCAATGATACCATTTTTCACTACTCAAGGCAATACCCGAGTAACTATTCGGCCATTTACCGTAGAAAGCGTTCGATTGTCGATAAATTGGATTCTCTGGTCGTCTGTATTTCCATTGTGAATCGCTAAAGAACTGATAACACTAAATAGAAGGAAATTTGTCTCACGAATTGTAGTTGTACCCCCAATTTCCATAGAGCTGCCTGCTGGAATCTTGTCGTGGATAGGTGTAAGCTGAAATGTTTAAACTCAAATTAAACGCTTTAAACTTTTGAAAAAACACCAAAGCAAATTATCTACTAGATTTAGCAAACCTACTTGTACTTTGACTACCCCTTTCCTAAAACGTACCAACTTTCAAAAATACCGTAATCTCGCCGCTAATTTAGGCCCTTACATGGCTGGGGGGCTTTCGTCATCACAAAGACGGAATCCCTATGGTGAGACGCGGTTATTGCACTTCTTGACTGCGTTGACCAGCTCCGATTTGGGGTTCGCTAACAGCTAAATTTTTGCGTGAGGGGCTGCGTTCGCGCGGCCCTGCCAATAGATTGATGTAAGCGAGATAAACGATCGTGGAATCTGGAGGGCGCTAGTTGGGAAGGCACGACCAACAAGGAGAGGGGTATTCCACATTCATCTCATCCCACCGCTCAAATGCTACAGAAGTGGTGTGACAAAAAGGAGTCGATCTTCGTTTTCCCTCGTCGTGACAAAGGAAAACATTTGGACAAACAAACGGCTGCTAGAGCGATCGACGACCTTTTCAAAAAGTTGGGATTTCAAAGCTTCTCTTCACATTCACTTCGTGCTGGAGCCACAACTAATAGAGCAGCTGATGGTGTACCTCTCTTGAACCCCTTCAGAGTCGTGGGCGCTGGAAGTCGTTGGCCGGATGCATCCCTAAGTGCACGAATCGAATGGTGCTCAAACAACAACAACCAAGTTGGATTAAGAATTGTTTTTTTGGTTAATTTGTTAATCGACCGTTGTATTGCTGTTGCTTTTGCTTATTGTTTTTCGGTCATTTATTGTTGTTGACGTGGTCATTGCACTTTTGATTGTGTTGACCTGTGTGGCAGCTCCGAGTTGGGGTTCGCTAACAGCTAAATTTTTGCGTGAGGGGCTGCGTTCGCGCGGCCCTGCTAATTTAATTTTGAAGATTAAAATATTAAATCTTTCCATAGGGGCCTAGAAGAGGAAGGGTCTGCGGTCTATCCCGTCCGATCTGCCAAGTTAAGCAACGTCGGCGCGGGATAGTCGTGGGTTCGACTTTTGTGGGTTCCCCTCCGAGCGCCCCAGCCCGGCCATCGGAGTATCATCGGCTACGACAACTACACTTCTGCCTCAGTACCCTGCTCTCTTCCGGCATCAAGGGATCAAGCAAAGGCCGAGAGGCGATCCAATCTCGGGACATCAGCTATCCCATATGGAGCTGCTATGCCATATGGCTAACGGACCAAGGAACGGAACACGACGACAAAGCCCAAACCTTCGACTCTGCACTTTCAACGCCAGGACAGTCGCCTCGCAAGCCGATAAGACCGCACTCCATGAGATGAGCAAGAAGATCAAATTCGATATCACCGCCCTCCAAGAAACGAAGGCCAAAGACGACTCCAGGAAGACACAGGCGAATGGCGACCTGCGCGGACACAAAGTCACCAACAAGAACATCGGAGGAGTAGGCTTCCTGGTCAACAAGGACATCGTGCCACTCGTCGACAGCCATGAGATCATCTCTCCACGACTCGCAGTCCTCCACCTCAAGCCGCCGAGAAACCGCGACATCGCCGTCTACAGCTGCTATGCCTCCGCAGCCGCGGAAGACGAACGAGAAGCCTTCTACGAAGACCTCGATGCAACACTCAAGAAAGACAGGAGCTTCTACAAGTTCGTGCTCGGAGACTTCAACGCGATCATCGGGAACAGCGGTATCGGGAGGGTCGGAAAGTTCGGCACACGAAACGATAACGGCGACCGTTATCGTTTCGCTACTATGGTCAGCAAGACTCACTCACGGGAACTCTCAGTTCAAGAAGAAGACCTCAAGGAAATGGACGCTTCTAGACGTCGGCGTGGTGCCCTTCATCACCGGCTCCGACCATCGACTCGTGCGAGCAAAAGTGAAACTGAGCGAACAAATGGCAAAGAAGATCCTCCACCGACCACGAAAGGAGAAGTAGCTCGCCCACGACTTCTCGACACTACCACAACTCCTCAGGGATAAGGATTGGAAACAATCGGGAAACCACAACGAGAACTACGACACCCTGGTCAAGAACCTCAAGGAATGCGAGAAGAAGTGCAGTGTACCACAGACCAAAGACCAGAGGATCTCAGACGCGACCAAGGAGCTACTCAAGATGAGGATCCACATCAAGAACGACACCAACTCCACAGAGCTGGAACGAAGGGCAGCTGACAAAGCATGTCGCAACCAACTCAGCGGCGATGGAGAAGATTGTCCAAGACTTCTACACCGACCTCTACTCGTCGACAGGCACCCACCCACCACCGCAAGTACCAGCCGCCACAGAAGAAATACCGACAGTCCTCCCAGCCGAAATCAGAGCAGCCATCGCCACTACCAAGACTGGAACAGCACCAGGGCCAGACAACATCAAGATAGAGCTACTCAAGGCTGGAGGAGAAGACATACACAAGCTGCTGGCCGAACGCTTCGCCACCTACCTCCACAACCAGAGGATACAAGAAAGGAGACAAAGAAGACATCGGAAACTACAGGCCAATATCTCTGCTATCGGTCCTGTACAAGCTCTACACGAAGATTCTCCAACAACGAATAGAGCGGAAACTCGACGACTACCAGCCAGTGGAGCAGGCCGGCTTCCGCAAGAACTTCTCGGTGATCGACCACATGCAAGCCGTCACCCAACTGATCGAGATGTTCGAGAGGGAAGTCCACATCCCGATCAAGCGCCAGAAGAAGCCCAACGGATGCTAGAAGACCTCGACCGAGTCAGCAAGAAGATTGGCCTCGAGATGAAAAAGACTCAGAGCATGAGGAACGCATGGTGCCCACCTGGAGAGATCAAGCTGGAAGGTCAACCACTAGAAGAAGTCACCTCCTACACCTACCTCGGAAGAAGCATCAACATGGAGGGAGACCTAAGACCAGAAGTCGCCAGAAGAAGACGAGCTGCCTGGACAGCACTAGGAAGCATCAAAGAAGTCACAAAGATGCTCAAGAATCACCAGAGAACTCGGGCACACCTCTTCGAACGCACCGCCCTCCCGGCACTCTGCTACGGGACAGAAACCTGGGCCACGACACAGACCACCGAACGAGCCCTGAGAACGACGCATCGAGCCCTTGAAAGGAACCTCCTCGGACACAATAGGAAGACGCAGCTCGACCAAGACCTAAGAAGCACGGATATACGCCAGCTCTCGGGACTCAGAGATCCAGGGGAAGTGATCGAGAGAAAAAGACTCGGATGGGCCGGTCACGTAGCCAGAAGAACAGACGACAGATGGACGACACGGATCACAGAGTGGATACCACGAGACCAGAAGAGGCCCATCGGAAGACCAGCGACGAGGTGGAGCACAAGAGTGGCAGAGACGGTCAGAGAAAGGATGGCTAGAGTGCAATCACCACCAGCACAAGCAACTGGAAGGCTTCGAATCAGGAATAACCAAGATAGGAAGCACTGGATGACAATAGCAAGGGATAGAGAAATGTGGAAGCAGGTTGTGATCTGCGCAAAGAGGAACACCTAAGTGCGAAGACAGATCAAAAAAAAAAAAAATCTTTCCATAATCTTCTTCCATCTAATGCGACTATTTTTGTATTTCCAATATTCTTCGTAAAGAGATTCAGGCTAGAGGCAAATGTCTGCCCTGCCAAATTGCCAAAATGTTACCCTGAATGTTTCTTCCCATCCAATCCGCTTTCAAAGTTACCGGTTGATTACGATATTTTTCCACATAATAGAAAATACAGTACATAAGAGGCAAGTTTACTACTTCAGCTACTCGCTCGTTTGGGGATTCCTCGGTATGTTTAAGGATTCCAGTGTATTCTAAAGCATGTCAACTTTTGCGACTACAGTAATCTTGCCTCTAGCTTGAATCTACCTGAATACGTTCAGTCAATCAATTTCGAATTTCATCTTTGATTCATAACGTTTGATCCTCTTTCAGAATATACCAATGAGCAGCAAAATGTGGGAAATTGTTAGAAAGAGAAATATTATTCGAGAAGTAACAATCAATTCATTATTGGCAGGGCCGCGCGAACGCAGCCCCTCACGCAAAAATTTAGCTGTTAGCGAACCCCAACTCGGAGCTGCCACACAGGTCAACACAGTCAAAAGTGCAATGACCATGTCTCACCATGGGGGTCCCGTCTTGATGATCACGAGAAACCCCCCAGCCAGGTAAGTTTATGAGGGGATCGAGGGAGGGGGTTAAGCAAAAGAGGTGCGCCAGATCGAGAGCGATTACGCTGCCGCACAAAGAACACCTTGGTGGTCTGGGGAAGACAAATTGCGATTTGCATTTGTTTTGAGAAAATTGTTTATGTTGATCTGTAAGGGTTCAAGAAGAAAAGTAAAAGTAGGTATATTAGATGAAAACTAAGGGTAAAACTACGGCGGCTTTCGAAAGCTGTTTCTTTCGAAATTTTAGAAAGCACATTATTTGAGAGGAAAACAAGTGGATTCAGCATAGACTTACTCACCAAAGTTATAATTCCGATAGTTACCCATCGGTGAAACGCGATTTACACCATCACAATTCCTCTGATTGTCACCACTCAACACCCCAAACCAGTGATTATTTTGATAGGGTGCAGGTTCAAAATTTCGAAAACCTGATTGCCATGGAACTAAAGATTGAGTAAGTGAGCACTTCAAGCACACAAACAAAAATGAAAGGTTAGAAATTAAAATAAATGACTCTTGAGTACCTCGAAGTTGACGAAATATGAGGTCAAACGTTGAAGTGACGGGAGAAATCAGTGATCCGAAAAGAATAATAATAATCCGAGCGTTGATCCACATTCAATCAAAAGATTGATCTGAACTTTGAAAATAAACAAAATTTCAATATTCAAAAGTTCCGCTTCAAGTGTTGTTTACTGGAAAAGTTGAAGAGGTTTGAAGTAAATATTTTCAAAACTCGTCTATTCTGCCAAAACAGTTTATTCAATAACCATAAATTTCCTATGTCCATGCAAAATTGCGAAAACTGACCATAAACTGGGGAAAGCCGATTTGAGGACCGTTTTCATCTCTTCTTTTTCAGGATAAGTGTGCCGGTGACCTTGGGCTTTACCCAGGTGAAGGAAAAAATGAATATTTTTGATTGAGAAAAGGAAGTTGTTGAAATGAATCGAGAGATAGCCTCGATTTCTCGGTGGAGTACTCGAGTCTGGGTATTTTGCTCTCCTCTAATCCTTTTCTTTTTTTCTCGTCAATAAAATAACAAACAAAGCAAATAATCCTATTATTTGTGTTCAAAGAAGATGAAAACTTTAATGTTTAATTTAATGTTTCATTTAATGTTACAATCCTAGTCCTAGCAAGTCCAGTCCTAGCAAGTCCAGTCATAGCAAGTCCAGTCATAGCAAGTCCAACCATAGCAAGTCCAGTCATAGCAAGTCCAGTCATAGCAAGTCCAGTCCTAGCAAGTGCAGTCATAGCAAGTCCAGTCATAGCAAGTCCAGTCATAGCAAGTCCAGTCCTAGCAAGTCCAGTCATAGCAAGTCCAGTCATAGCAAGTCCAGTCATAGCAAGTCCAGTCATAGCAAGTAATGAACTGAATTGAAAAGTATCAACAGTGCATGTGATGATCCATGATTCATTTTACATTTCTATCGGTCGTGTGCAAATGTAAAAAATACAACTTTCATATGATAGAGATTTCAAAAATGAAATCCAGATCGAAACAGTAAAACGACTTGCTAATCACAAACAATAGCTTCGTAGTCAAGTGTCAATCATCAACGTGCCACAGTTATGGTTGAAGTGCTTCAAGACTGACCATGAGAACATTAGTGCTATAGTGGAGGGATTTTTTTGCACCTAGGAGTTTTTAACAGACAAAACTTTGTAAACCCTGTCACTGGGGTTCATACTCAAGCAATTGAGAGAGCGTAGAGTCAGCTGAAAAGACAAATCAGGATAAGAAACGGTATCAAGGGTGAGCTCTGAGATGACCATTACTTTAAAGTGCTTTGAAAGTGGCAACACAATACAGAAAACCAAATGTACGTATTCTGGGATAAAGTGGCCAAAAAGTATCCGTTGTTTTGAGTTATGTCCTCGCTGGTAACTTGTTGACATTTTGTTGTTATTATTTTTGTTGCTATTTGTTATAAACGTTGTTAAAAGTTGTGAAATGTTGTGTGAAACGATCACCAATCGATTCAGCATAATCAAAAACCCCTGGGTACAAAAAATGCGCTCATTTGATGAAAAATTTTGCTTCCCCCTAACTATTGTCGTCGAAGTCGAACCAGCGACCCTCAGATCAATAGCCTTTCCGCCGCTTTTCGCTATTTTCCTTCGTTTTTCTTGTTTTTTTTTTGTTGAAGAACAATCGAGGATCCTCTTCAACCAAACGAGTCGGGAACTCGCTGAGCAAATGAATTGCCACCATACCACGATTTTGAAACATCTTCGGAAAATGGGAAAAGTTCAAAAGCTCGGATCCTGGGTTCCACACCTCTTTTCTCGGGAAGCGATGTGAGGTAGCCGAACTCCTTCTTGATAGGCACATGAAAACCCGAACTCTGCCGCTCTTTACTAAAATGGCTGTAAAAACTTTTAGAAAAGAGATATCTCAAAACGGTTTTTATCAATCGATCCGTCTTGAATTCAGCTTTAGGATGAGCTATAAAACGTCAAAATTCGACAAATTTAAGGTACTCTCCCAAAAAATCGGAAAGGACTTTTCCATCAACCCAGAGCTACTATAGCCCCAGAGCATTGGAAATTTGAAGAATCTCTATTATTAAGCATAAAAATCAAAAGTTTAACTACATTTTTTCTACCAAAAGTTAGGAATCCAATTTCATTTTTACACAAAAACTTACCAACAAAACATTTCGAAGAATTGTGTGTCATTTGTAGAAGTCCCTTTCTTGTTTCGAGGTCTTTTCCTTCAAATTCCCCTTTCTTTTTCTTCTTTTTCTTCTTCTTCTTTTTCTTCTTCTTCTTCTTCTTCTCACTTCTTTCTTCTTCTTTTTTTCTTCTCACTTGCATGAGGGCGCCCATTCAAAATCACATCCCCTTGCCCAGTTATAGCCCCTTCCCTCTCTTTTCCTCTTTTTCTTCTCACCACCACAAATCCCCCAATATCCTTTAACCTCTTTTCTTTTTATCCCTTTTCTCTGCTCTTCTTTGTTTCTCTTCTCATCGCACCATCAAACAACATTCACGCAATTCAACCCCTCGGGAATTAGCTTTAGTGAGAAAATTATGTTTGATCGGTGAATGAATTTGAAACTTACCATCAAGTACATAAAATGCTCACTAGTCAAATGGAACTAGTCAAATGGAACTAGTCAAATGGAACTAGTCAAATTGAACTAGTCAAATTGAACTAGTCAAATGGAACTAGTCAAATGGAACTAGTCAAATTGAACTAGTCAAATTGAACTAGTCAAATTGAACTAGTCAAATTGAACTAATCAAATGGAACTAGTCAAATGGAACTAGTCAAATTGAACTAGTCAAATTGAACTAGTCAAATGGAACTAGTCAAATGGAACTAGTCAAATTGAACTAGTCAAATTGAACTAGTCAAATTGAACTAGTCAAATTGAACTAATCAAATGGAACTAGTCAAATGGAACTAGTCAAATGAAACTAGTCAAATTGAAAACACGCATTGAAAACTGCAAGAATCAAAATGTCCAATCAAAAATGTTGCAACGACTTACTGTTCTTGGTATATAGCCTGCGTGGCTAGATTCGTTCATTGCGCCGCCATGACCGACTGGCTAAGAGCCCTGTATCTTAGTCAGGAGATCAAGGGTTCAATCTCGCCGATTCGATCCTATATTTAGATCACTAGTACACCAAGTCTTCAAATAAACCTCAAGCAGATTTACGGATAGTCCCCCAAATCATTACAGAGAATTCGACCCCTTTCCAAATCTGGCTGTGGATGTCAAGAGAGAGATGGCCGTGTCCATCTGTGGCGACTCGAGAGGCCATCACCAACGGCACTCCTCCCATCCTAAACCCTTTCTCTCTAATAAGTCCTCTCGCTTCTTTTCTTTTCTCCCTTATTGGACTTGGGAAGAGAATTTGGGCGAAGAGTCGGTGTCGGTTTGTGGGAGCGGATGGGTTGTGTGTGGCTGGTTGACTCCTCCGGGGCACCGACATGCATTCATCACTCTTCCCCTCTCTTTCCCTCTCTCCATCCAGCCCTATAATGGTTTGGCGCGCACATTGCTCTCCCCTTCTTTCAAGAAGGACAAGATCATGGGAATTTTCAAGCCAGAGAGCCCATTTCTTTACCCCATCTCAATGGGAACTAATAGCAAGCGGTTTTTAGGAAAAAAAAATGCTATTCATAGTTTTTGTCTCCGTGACACAAAAAGGACATCTGGGAATCGGGGTTTTTAAAACAATTGACGACTAATAAAGATGAAAAACTGAAGGAGTGCTATTCTGAATTGAAAACCGATTAGGATTCGATTTTGAGGTTCTGAATGGAAAATGGTCGGAGAGGAATGGTTGTCAAAAGTTCAAAACACAAATGTTTTCGATTAGAATATTTGAAACAAAAGCTATTTTTCAGAAGAACAGACGACAGATGGACGATACGGATCACAGAGTGGCTACCACGAGACCAGAAGAGGCCCATCGGAAGACCAGCAACGAGGTGGAGCACAAGAGTGGCAGAGACGGTCAGAGAAAGGATGGCTAGAGTGCAACCACCACCAGCACCAGCAAGTCGAAGACTTCGAACCAGGAACAATCAAGCTAGGAAACACTGGATGACAATAGCAAGGGATAGAGAAATGTGGAAGCAGGTTGTGATCTGCGAAAATAGGAACACCTGAGTGCGAAAACAGATTAAAAAAAATGGCAAAACAAGCTATTATTCACGTAAAAAGCAACCAGTTACAAGGCCAGACCTGGCCCTGATACTGTACAATAAAATTTTCAGGTGTCAGGTTGGGTTGAAAACCAGAGTCGTTATATAAGTATGCTCTGGACCTGAGCCCTGACTCTTGAGTGTTTTTGAGTGACATATAGTTCGGTGTTTGCCTAGAACTATAGCTAAAATAAAATTCATCTTTTTTAAGTATTAGGGTTTACCATTTTTTCAAAATCCCCTTAATGTCGGTTTCAAATCGAAGCGATAGGGCAACGCACACAAAAAAAAGATAGTGGCCCCATGGGAGACAAAAGAGAATCAAATGGGAAAAGAAAGGAAAAGAAAAAAAGGAAAAGAAGAGTGAGAACGGCTCGGATTTCAAGCTTTCCCATCACATCTCATCACAGAGCGAATCACTATATGAGTCGTTTCATTTCTTTGAACAATCAATCAACACTCAACAATCAACAACAATCAACTCTTGAATTTCATCTTTGATTCACAAATAATTGAATAGCTTGAAATTAACCTCCTTTGACAATTTCCCACCTTTGTAACAGGGAAATATGTGTGACTGTTTGACTGCTACCATGAGAACCATTGAGCTGAATTTTGTCTCTAACGGTAACTTTTGATCCTCTTTCAGAATATA